ATAGATTGGTGTATGTAATGTAATTATGGATGGGATATTTGACAGTAGAAGTGTGATTTGATTTGGATAAGGTGAGAAATACAAAGTCAGTAGTCCAAATGGGAGGTTTAGTTGGGCGACTAGATTTTCTAATTGGATTGTGAGATGTTGGTAATGCATAATTAGGTGAAGAAGTGGTGGAAGAACTAGGGAAAGTTGGTTCTATCTCATGAAGATCAATAGTGGAACTATGGGGCAAAACGGAATTAGAAGGTAGAATGTAATCAGAGGATGCTGGAAGGTCCTCTTCCATGAAAGAATCAATAGGAAAAGGAGGTTTATTGGATTGATGTAGAAGAAAAGAAAAAAACAGATTCATGAAATTGAACATCTCTACTAACACATATTGTTTTTGAGTGTAAGTCATACAAAATGTAACCTTTCTTAGTAGAAGAATAACCAAGAAATACACAAGGAATGGATCTCGGAGCAAACTTGTCATGCATAGGGAGATTTACAACATATGCCAAGTAGCCAAATACTTTCAAGTGATTTAATTTGGGCTTATGACCATAAATTTTTTTGAAAGGTGATAAACCGTTCAAGACTCTAGTAGGCAGTCTATTGATAATGTATACAGTTTCCTTAACTGCATAACCCCACAAATAATCAAGAATATGTGATTGGAATTTAAAAGCCCAAGCTATGTTAAGTATATGCCTATGTTTGCATTCTACCACTCCATTTAGTTGTGGAGTGTAAACACAAGTACTCTGATGTATAATCCCCAAGGTAGACAACAAATCATGACATTGTTGATTGAAAAATTACAATCCATTGTCAGTTCTAATGTACTTAGGTGTTTGACCATATTGATTTTGAACCATATGCAGAAAATTCTTCAGAGTTTGAAAAACATCAGACTTGAATTGCATAAGGAAGAGCCAAGTTGTTCTAGTAAAATCGTCAACCACAGTAAGAAAAAATCTGGCATTTCCTTGAGTTGCAATTCGGTAAGGGCTCCAAACATCTAAGTGTAATAGTTCAAAGACATGATGTGTCTGTGGTGCTTAAAGGAAATGGCAATCTAGTTTGTTTTGCTAAAGGACAAGCATCACAATGGAATTCGTGCTCATTACTAAGTGCATGATTTAATTTCTGCGAAGCAGGTAAAAGAGCATAGCCTAACCTCCTATGCCATGAAACAACATCTGTGGTATGAAGAGATTTATTTATTGAAGAATCAGTAGCTACATTGAAAGAGTGGTATGCTGATTTATTATTACAACTATCATACTCCTAGATGCCTAAGATTTTATTGAAAGTTGAAACAAAATCAGGAAAACAGACTTTAATTTTTGAAAAAGGCATGAAATGATAAAGCCCTTGGCATTGCTTACCAATCCCCTTCAGTTTGCCACTCCAAAGATCCTGGATAACATAAAAATCCAGATAAAATGTAATGCAACATTGATTATCAAAAGCTAGTTTAGACACTAAGATCAAATTATATTTGAAATCTGGTATGTATAAAACTTTTTCAAGGGACAAATGTTCTTGCAATTTGACAAAACCAACATGGGCAATTGAAGTTTTTGTTCCATTTGGGAGACCTACAAAGCTAGTTACGGGTGGTTTCTTACAAACATGAGATTCAAAGTTTCTGAAATTATGGGTCATATGGTCAGTGGCCTTGGGATCAAGAATCCAATCATCCATAATGCTACAATCTGAGAATAAGGAAATGATTTTACCTGCTAAATTAGCAGATGGTGTCCCCAAATTCTCCTTTCCTAGCAAATGAAACAGTTGTGCATATTGTTATGGAGTTAGAATGTTTCCCAGATTAGTGCCTCCTTTGCTGTTGTCGAATGCAAAATCAGTGTTCGAAGCTTGTTCCTGACTTGTATTCACTTGATTAGCTTTAGCCTTCGACCCTAACCTTCCTTTAATGAACTGAACGTCTATTGGATACCCATGCAACTTATAAGAGGTTTCTCTTTTATGCCCTGCAATATGGCTATAATCGCACTCTATGTAAGGCTTCTTGCTTTTATACTTCGAATTTTGATTCTGATTTCTTTGATTTCCTTGCGAATATAGTGCTATAATAACCTCAGTATTTGGATTAGAACCGATCAAAACCTTTTGACTCTCATCTTGACTTACATTCGAATATGCTTGTTTGATTGAAGGTAGAGAAACCATTAATAAAATTTGCCTTCACACCAAGGCATAAGATTCATTTAATCCCATCAGGAACTGGAATAGTTTTTGCTAATTGAGATGAGCCAAATAGGCTTTAGCTGACTCATTGTCAAGTAGGGGTAGACTTACCAATGAACTTAGTTCATCCCATAAGGTTTTTAACTTGTTGTAATAAACTGCAACCGAATTTGTTCCTTGCACCATATTCGTTATCTCTCTACGAATACCAAAAACTCTTGTGCCATTGACTTTGTTGTATTGCTTCTGAAGATCTTGTCAGACCTGATGTGCACTAGTAGAATACACAATACTAATAAAAATTTCCTTCGAAACAGTGTTAAAGATCCACGCTAAGACTAAAGAGTTGCATCATTCCCACTGTGCATGTGAAGACTGATTGTAATTGGATTTTTCACAAGATCCATCTAGGAAACCTAACTTGTTCTTTGCCCTTAAAGAGACTGTCATCGCGCGACTCCATATTCCAGAGTTCTCTGTTCTAGTGAGTTGCTCTGAAACTAGTACGGAATCAGGTGTGTTGGACGAATGGATGTAGAGAGGTGAGCTTGAGTCACTGACATTCGACATCTGGAATTCTTCAAGATTCAGTTGAAATTAAAGACGAAATTGACGAATTGATGAAGACAATCAATTGATCTTTAAGTGATGTCTTCAATTACAAGCTTAACTCTTTCGATCGAAGTTCACTGATTTTGCAAATTGAAAACCCGCTCTGATACCATGTGCAAACTTAGCTTGAAGAGTAAAAAAACTAATTTTGTTATTATTCAGCTTAATGAATACTGTGCATCAGAGTTATTACACTTATATACAATTTCAGCAACTATAGTTAAGTAAACTTAACACCAACTAACCAACTAATTACATAACTAATCACATTAATAATCCAAGAGAGGCCCATGTGCATGGTCCGTCCATAGAAGCCTTTCACGGACAGCACCCGACAGTGCATCAGCCCAAGACCAATGTGCTGTCTCATGAGTTCAGTCCCCACAGCCCAATCAAAACAGCACCATAAAACCAAAACCTGTTAAAAATATCAATAAAAACTCCTACAATTATAAAAAATAACCCCTATTTAAAGTCGCCTAACAAGGGCTTGTTACTACTTTTAACTCGATTTTTGTGAATTATTATTCTCTACAAATCAAAATCAAAATCAAAAGATATTTAAAGGGTTACATAAGATTTCTTAAACTTTAATGACTTAATTTCATAACCCAATTCTAATAGGATTAGAAATTATTTTTACAACAACTCATCATAAGAAAATCTCATTATCCGTAGGGGTAATTTTAAAATAATTCTTAAAGTTGGACTTGGAGGATTTGGTGGGAATAAGCACGTAGTGAGATTGTTAGGCGGAAATCACGTGATACAAACAATAAAATCTTGAGCTACTTGTCAATTCATCGTCTTTAATAGCTAAAATCAGAGTCCCTCATCTAACCACGTTGACACCGATCCATCTACTTAAATAAAATTCTTTTGTACCAAATGTTCGCGACCACAACATCAACATTAAGACGACAGCAGAAATATAATTCTAATTCATTACCCCAATTATTGTTGTAATGTTTGGTGAGGCATCTTATTTTATTATATTTATTTATCAGTTTCTCTTTAATATTTTCAAATTTAATCCTCCCATATTATAATACTTTAAACCATTCATTGGACTTTTCGTAATTGGATTATCTTACTCAATTCTACTACAAAAAAAATATGACATTAAACTTTATAATAGTAAAATCTCTCTACATTTTAGGTGTTAAAATAATTCTATATTTATCCTTATTAATTATATATGTTAGCTTTTTTATTCTCTTAATCAATTTGTAATTAGGCCGTTGAAAACTTCAAAATTATTTGTTAACTAAAGTTTTTGTTAAGGAAGATTTATATATATTCTTCCGGATTAATCTACGATATTATTTTTATCCAACAAATTAAACAAACTACTATTCGCCTCAACCTAACGCTTTGTTTCTAGAAGTTATCGATTACTTTTTTTTTTTTTTTTCTTCTTAAAAAAAACTTTATTTCTAATTAATAAATTTGTATAAAGTTTTCCACATACAAGTAGTTACTCAATTAAATGAAAGGGCAGAAGTCATTATTTTATTTTTTTAAGGTCTTTTTTTGTTTTGTAAAATTCTTCTTCAAAATTTCTTGTTTCTATTTTCTACAAATTTATTCATCAGTTACTGGTCAAAGTTGATCAGCAATCAGTTTTGACTCAAAGAAAAGCTAATGACAAAGGAGGTACCCAATAATTTCTTAAAAAAATAGCAAGTGGCTGCAAGAATTGAGGGGGTTTAAATACTTTTGCCATTCAATTAGATGTATTTCTGTTTGTATACCTCTACAGTGAAAACCAGGTATACACTAGCTGTTGGCTGATTTAAAGTTCTTTGGATCCAATAACTTTTGAAAACAACTACTAGCATCCTCATCAGTTTTTGGGATTAACATTTGTTGTTGACTGATTTAAATTAAAAAAAAAAAAAAATTTAGAAAATTCAAAGGAAAACGTAAAATCTCAAAATTTTATTTATAAAAAAAAATATGAACATCAAATGAAAAAAATACAAATAATATAATTTGAAAAGTTGGTTGCAATTAGGGGTATACATTATCCAATACTTATTAATAGATCTAATCGGGAGGGGTTAACTCCTAATTTATTAGTTTACTTGTAGAAGAAAAAAAGGAGGTTTGGCTGGATCACGAGGCATGGGTGGTAGTTAGAGCTGTCCTCTCTCCTGTGCCCACAATATATAAATAAACACCTCGCCCAGCTCTTTGTCATAATTAGCATCACACAAAACATTAACATTCCATTGAATTCAATTTCGATGGCTCCTACCACTCTCACAGCTCTTGCACAAGAGAAAACCCTTAATGCCAAATTCGTTCGCGACGAAGATGAGCGTCCTAAGGTGGCCTACAACCAGTTTAGCAATGAAATTCCGGTGATTTCACTGGCCGGAATCGATGAAGTTGATGGCAGAAGGGCTGAAATTTGCAAGAAAATTGTTAAAGCATGTGAAGATTGGGGTATTTTTCAGGTTATTGATCATGGTGTTGACACTAAGCTTATATCTGATATGACTGGACATGCAAGAGATTTTTTCGCTTTGCCTCCGGAAGAGAAGCTCCGGTTTGATATGTCCGGCGGCAAGAAGGGCGGATTCATTGTCTCCAGCCACCTCCAGGTATTCTAAAGATAAGCTTTCATCTTAAATAATTGTTCTTGTTTAACCATATATTCCTAAGGGATCCAAAGCTTTTGAAGAAATAAGTTATACCATTCCAATTTTTTGAAAACAAAGAAATTAGTCCATAGTGCACTGTCAAAAATTGAGAGAGTTGAGGATATTTTGATTTCTTAAAAAGACATACAAGATGAACATATATAACGCTGTTTCCTTTTTCTCATATTATAGGGAGAAGCAGTTCAAGATTGGCGTGAAATTGTGACATACTTTTCATACCCAATTAAGAACCGAGATTATTCACGGTGGCCCGACAAGCCAGAAGGATGGAGAGATGTAACAAAGGAGTACAGTGAGAAATTGATGGGTGTTGCATGCAAGCTTCTTGAGGTTTTATCTGAGGCCATGGGATTAGAGAGGGAAGCTTTAACTAAAGCATGTGTGGACATGGACCAAAAAGTTGTGGTCAATTTCTATCCGACGTGCCCAGAACCCGATCTCACCCTTGGACTAAAACGCCACACCGATCCAGGAACCATCACACTCTTGCTTCAAGATCAGGTCGGTGGACTCCAGGCCACTCGAGATAACGGCAATACTTGGATCACCGTTCAACCTGTTGAAGGAGCTTTTGTGGTCAACCTTGGTGATCATGGTCATGTAAGTAGTACTGCTATTTAATACCATTTTCTGCTGTGTTTATTATTTCTTCATCGTCTTTACTATATTGTTGGCCCGGTATTGTTATTGGACCACCCATGCAATGGCTAGTGGGGACGGTGATCCGATCCAAAATATAATTTTTAATTTTATATAATTTACTTTGTAAACTAACCTTTGCCCATCTAAATTAAAACCAACTTTTTTTTTTTTTTTATTGTTTATTAAATAAATGAAGTTGTATTTTTTTAAGAGGATAAGTATTTTATTAATCATAAATCTTTTATATTATCTTTATCAGTCAACTAAAAAAAGGAAATAAGATATTTCTAACCGTTTCTGACAATATTTGTATCAAAAATTTTATATTATTCATTTTGAATTTGCCCCCTCCGATATTAATCCATCCATGAGTCTGCCATAAAAGATTCTTCGTTTTAATATATGTCTCGTATATGATTTTGACATTACACCCGTCTGTAATATTATCATTAGTATCTGAGCAATGGGAGGTTCAAGAATGCGGATCACCAAGCAGTGGTGAACTCAAACCGTAGCAGATTATCCATTGCAACATTTCAGAACCCAGCACCAGAAGCAACAGTATACCCACTGAAGATCAGAGAAGGGGAGAAGCCGATACTGGAGGAACCAATCACATTTGCAGAGATGTACAGGAGGAAGATGAGCAAGGACCTTGAGCTTGCCAGACTAAAGAAATTGGCCAAGGAGCAGCAGTTGCAAGACTCTGAGAAAGCCAAATTGGACGCCCAGCCCATAGATAAGATCCTTGCTTAACTTATCTCTACCAATTTCCTATATATTTTGCTTGTATTTGAATTCTGTATGACTTGGTGAAGTTGTGTAATTGTTTGTCAGTGACCCAATGAGTGACCCAATATGTGCATGATTGGCTATATGCTAAATTTATAATGCATTAAAATAAATTGAGATCACTTCTTATACATCATGTAGCTTCTCTTCCCAATTATTTAATTATGTTCATATACATAAACAAAAAGTGCAAATAATTCTATCTTTTAACAAATTATAACTATTCTGAGCTCGAGTCCCTTCTCGGTTGCTAATAGGAGTAGTCACTAAAGTTTTTATCTAATTGATAGTTCTAGGATTAGTTGAAGTATGCGTAAGCTAACCCGAATACACCAGCTCATAAAATATATATATATATATAACCAATAATATTTTTTCTAGCAAAAACTTTTGGATTTTTAGGATAGGATAGTAAAACAAATGCAGCCTTAAGTACTCATAACTCATTTCAATGTGAAGTCAATATCGCAACTAAGTTTCACATCTTGTTCAGTTTGAACTTTTTGTAGCTTATTTTAAAGGTAATAGAATTCATATAGAGAAGGTTTGTATATAATTAGGGGTGAGCGGTTTCGGGTACCCTACACTTTTCGAGGGAACCGGAATCAGAACCGCACAGTGCAGGTTCCCAAAAAAAGGAACCAGAACCGTATAGTACAGGTTCTTCAATTCAAGGAACCGGAACCTGAAATGCAGGTTCCGGTTCCTTTCCCGGGTACCCTATAAAAAATCAATTACCCCCCTATTAGTTTAAAAAATGACAAAAAAAAATTAAAAAATTACAAATACACCCCTAACAAATTTTGATTATTCATTCATTTGTGTCCAATGTAACTCATAACCTATAATCTATAAGCAACACTTGAATTCAATCAATTCATCACAATTCACATAAAATTTGTCAATCAAAACCAAAACACAAACAATTATTCATCACAACTCACATTAAGTGTGGTATGAAAAGATTTATTTATTAAAGAATCAATAGCTACATTGAAAGAGTGGTATGCTAATTTATTACAACTATCATACTCTTGGATGCCTAAGATTTTATTGAAAGTTGAAACAAAATCAGGAAAACAGACTTTATTTTTGAAAAAGGCAGAAATGATAAAGCCCTTGGCATGCTTACCAATCCCCTTCCGTTTGCCACTCCAAAGATCCTGGATAACATAAAAATCCAGATAAATGTAATCAACATTGATTATCAAAAGCTAGTTTAGACCCTAGATCAAATTATATTTGAAATCTGGTATGTATAAAACTTTTTCAAGGGACAAATGTTCTTGCAATTTGACAGAACCAACATGGGCAATTGAAGTTTTTGTTCCATATGGGAGACTTACAAAGCTAGCTACGAGTGGTTTCTTTAGTAACATGAGATTCAAAGTTTCTGAAATTATGGGTCATATGGTCAGTGGCCTTGGATCAAGAATCCAATCATCCATAATGCTACAATCTGAGTATAAGGAAATGATTACCTGCTAAATTAGTAGATGGTGTCCCAAATTCTCATTTCCTAGCAACGAAGCGCTATGCATATTGTTCTGGAGTTAGAATGTCTCCCAGATTAGTGCCTCCTTTGTTGTTGTCGAATGCAGAATCAGTGTTCGAAGCTGTTCCTGACTTGTATTCACGATTAGCTTTCACCTTCGACCTTGACATTCCTTTAGTGAACTGAAAGTCTGCTGGATACCCATGCAACCTATAACAGGTTTCTCTTTTATGCCCTGCAATATGGCTATAATCACACTCTATGTAAGGTTCTTGCTTTTATACTTCGAATTTGATTCTGATTTCTTTGATTCCTGCGAAAGTAGTGCTATAATAACTCAGTTTTGGATTAGAACCGATCAAAACCTTTGACTTCATCTGACTTACATTCGAATATGCTTGTTTGATTGAAGGTAGAGAAAACCATAATAAAATTTGCCTTCGCCACAAGGCATAAGATTATTTATCCCATCAGGAACTGGAATAGTTTTTGCTAATTGAGATGAGCCAAATAGGCTTTAGCTGACTCATTGTCAAGTAGGGGTAGACTTACCAATGAACTAGTTCTCCCATAAGGTTTTTAACTTGTTGTAATAAACTGCAACCGAATTTGTTCCTTGCACCATATTCGTATCTCTCTACGAATACCAAAAACTCTTGTGCCATTGACTTTGTTATTACTTCGGAAGATCTTACCAGACCTGATGTGCACTAGTAAAATACACAATACTATTAAAATTTCCTTCGAACCGTGTTAAAGATCCACGCCAAGAATAAAGAGTTGCATCATTCCCACTGTGCATGTGAAGAGATTGTAATGGATTTTTACAACATCCATCCACGAAACCTAACTTGTTTCTTGCCCTTAAAGAGACTGTCATCGCGCGACTCCATATTCCAGAGTTCTGTTCTAGTGAGTTTGCTGAAACTAGTACGGAATCAGGTGTGTGGACGAATGGATGTAGAGAGGTGAGCTTGAGTCACTGACATTCGACATCTGGAATTCTTCAAGATTCAGTGAAATTAAAGACGAAATTGACGAATTGATGAAGACATAATTGATCTTTAAGTGATGTCTTCAATTACAAGCTTAACTCTTTCGATCGAAGTTCACTGATTTTGCAAATTGAAAACCCGCTCTGATACCATGTGCAAACTTAGCTTGAGAGTAAAAAGACTAATTTTGTTATTATTCAGCTTATGATACGTGCATCAGAGTTATTACACTTATATACAATTCAGCAACTATAGTTAAGTAAACTTAACAACAACTAACAACTAATTACATAACTAATCACATTATAATCAGAGAGGCCATGTGCATGGTCCGTCGTAGAAACTATCACGGACAGCACACGACAGTGCATCAGCCAAGACCAATGTGCTGTCTCATGAGTCAGTCCCCACAGCCCAATCAAAACAGCACCATAAAACCAAAACCTGTTAAAAATATCAATACCATTATAAAAAAAAAACCCCTATTTAAAGCTCGCTAACAAGGGCTTGTACATACTTTTAACTCGATTTTGTGAATTATTATTCTCTACAAATCAAAATCAAATCAAAAGATATTTAAAGGGTTACAAAGATTTCTAAACTTTAATGACTTAATTTCAAAACCCAATTCTAATAGGATTAGAAATTATTTTACAACAACTCATCATAAGAAAATTCATATCCGTGAGGGTTGGACTTGGAGGGTTTGGTGGGATGGTAGAGTGAGATTGTTAGGCGGAAATCACGTGATAAAAACAATAAATCTTGAGCTACTTGTCAATTCATCGTCTTTAATAGCTAAAATCAGAGTCCCTCATCTAACCACGTTGACACCAATCCATCTACAATAATCTTTTGTACCAATTATTCGCGACACAACACCACATTAAGACGATAGCAGAAATATAATTCTAATTCATACCCCATAATTTCTTGTAATGTTAGGTGAGGATTTATTTTATTATATTATTTATCAGTTTCTCTTTAATATTTTCAATTTAATCCTCCCATATTATATACTTTAAACCATTCATTGGACATTCGAATTGGATTATCTTACTCAATTTACTACAACAAAATATGACATTAACTTTATAATGTAAAATCTCTCTACATTTAGGTGTTAAAATAATTCTATATTATCCTTATTAATATATTAGTTAGCTTTTTTATTCTTTAATCAATTTGTAATTAGGCCGTTGAAAACTTCAAAATTATTGTTAACTAAAGTTTGTTAAGGAAGATTTATATATATTCTTCCGGATTAATCTACGATATTATTTTTATCCAACAAATTAAACAAACTACTATCGCCTCAACCTAACGCTTTGTTCTAGAAGTTTTCGATTACTTTTTTTTTTTTTCTTCTTAAAAAAACTATTTCTAATTAATAAATTTGTATAGTTTTCCACTACAAGTAGTTATCTCATTAAATGAAAGGGCAGAAGTCATTATTTTATTTTTTAAGGTCTTTTTTGTTTTTGTAAAATTCTTCTTCAAAATTCTTGTTTCTATTTTCTACAATTTATTCATCATGTACTGGTCAAAGTTGATCAGCAATCAGTTTTGACTCAAAGAAAAGCTAATGACAAAGGAGGTACCCAGTAATTTCTTAAAAAAATAGGAAGTGGCTGCAAGAATTGAGGGGGTTTAAATACTTTTGCCATTCAATTAGATGTATTTCTGTTTGTATACACTACAGTGAAAACCAGGTATACACTAGCTGTGGGTGATTTAAAATTATAGTTGGATTGAAAACAACTACTAGCATCCTTATCAGTTTTGGGATTAACATTTGCGTTGATGATTTAAATTAAAAAAAAAAACTTAAGAAAATCAAAGGAAAACGTAAAATCTCAAAAAAAATTTAAAAAAAAAAAAAAGAACATCAAATGAAAAAATACAAATAAAATCTGGAAAATATATTGAAAAGGTTGGTGCAATTAGGGGTAATATTATCATACTTTAAACTGCATAACTTAGTAATAGATTTAATCGGGAGGGGTTAACTCCTAATTTATTAGTTTACTTGTGGAATAAAAAATGGGGGTTTGGCTGGATCACGAGGCATGGGTGGTAGTTAGAGCTGTCCTCTCTCCTGTGCCCACAGTATAAATAAAAAAACACCTCGCCCAGCTCTTGTCATAATTAGCATCACACAAAACATTAACATTCCTGAATTCAATTTCGATGGCTCCTACCACTCTCACAGCTCTTGCACAGAGAAAAACCTTAATGCGAAATTCGTTCGCGACGAAGAGAACGTCCTAGGTGGCCTACAAACAGTTTAGCAATGAAATTCCTGATTTCACTGGCCGGAATCGATGAAGCTGATGGCAGAAGGGCTGAAATTTGCAAAAAAATTGTTAAAGCAGTGAAGATGGGGTATTTTCAGGTTATTGATCATGGTGTTGACACAAGTTATATCTGATATGACATGGACATGCAAGAGATTTTTTCGCTTTGCCTCCAGAAGAGAAGCTTCGGTGCTATTTGTAGGTTGTTATATAAAATAAATAGGCCCTCCTCACCGGGATTGGTGAGAGTAAAGTCTAATTGTTCA